CTGTGGCCACAGTCCAAAAAGCTAATCTAAGCAAAGACTTGAATGCATCCTGTGGGAACTATGACTTGAACTGCAAGCTCCTCTCGGGTGTCCTTATCGCCTTCCTTACATTTATACTGCACTGTAATCCTGCCCTCCCCCTGAGGAGCTCAGAGCAGTGAGTGTGGTACATGCTTTCATCTTTATCATCCCAGCAACCCTTTGATGTTGCTTTCATGCCTGAATAGAACCGGAACCCAAGTCTCCCCGGTCTTGGTTCAGCACTTTTTTTTACTCCTCCATGCCAGATTTTGTACCATGCTGACGATATGTTAGAATTCTGTTACTCTGTCTTATTTAAAAATGTTTGTGCTGTTCAGTTAAATTATTCTCACCCCCTCATTTAGGTATCTGCAAATAAGGGAGAGATAGGTGATGCCACACCTTTCAATGATGCAGTCAACGTGCAGAAGATTTCAAACTTGCTGTCTGATTATGGCTACCACCTGAGAGGAAATGAGGTATATTCTAATTACAGTGGTCGTTGGGAGACTGAGTGCTCCTCACATTGGTGTGTCACTACTATTTGCTGTTTTCTTTTCTCTAGGTTTTGTACAATGGCTTCACTGGTCGCAAAATCACATCACAGATCTTTATTGGCCCTACATACTACCAGCGGTTAAAGCATATGGTAGATGATAAAATTCATTCCCGTGCAAGAGGACCAATTCAGATCCTTAACAGGCAACCCATGGAAGGTCGATCTCGGTAAGTCTTCTTCTATTTCTTGTCATGGCCAAAGGCGAGGAAACATGTAGGGTACCAAAGCAGCTAGAAAATGTGCACAACACCCTTGGCTGCTGAGATTTCCACTAAACTTTCAAGCATGCATTTGCAATCATAAGGACTAGAACATTTATTCAAACCAAATGAAAGATGAGGAATGCTAATAGATAAGTGGATTCTTTGACTTTACTATAGTTCGGCCTATGTGATGCTATAATGTGGGTGATGATGATGATGATACACTGCAGAAGGTGTCCTTTTGATTCTGTCTCATGTTGGGTTCTTTTTTGACAACACTGTCATGTAGCATAAATAATGTGAAAGATTCTTATGCAGGTTTTAGATGCTCTGTCTAAAGTCATTTTTGAACGTTACCTTGGTTCTGCTGCAGTAGTATATTAATGTTGAGGGAAGCTGAATGTTGCTCGTACAGTTGGTAGAAGCTAGCAGAAGTCTGTGTCCTTCTAGCTTGGCAATACAAAGGATGATACAGTCTTGTTTCTTTTCCCTAGTGATGGTGGCCTTCGTTTTGGAGAAATGGAACGAGACTGTCAGATCGCTCATGGAGCAGCACAGTTCTTAAGGGAAAGATTGTTTGAAGCATCAGATCCATACCAGGTTCATGTCTGCAACCTGTGTGGCTTAATGGCAATAGCAAATACCAGGACACACACCTATGAGTGCAGGGGCTGCCGTAATAAGACACAGGTATGTGAAGAAATGGTGGAAATGCAGCCTATTTTTCTTGCAGTCTGTTGATTATACTAGTGGGTCCTATCACTCTTTGACTCTTCAGGTCTTCTTTCCTTTTAAAAACCTCTGCAATATACTTTCCTTCTGCTAACTAACCATAGTCTTGTCTGTTCACAGAATAGTAGGGTTGGAAGGGGCCATGAAGGCCATTGGGTCCAACCCCCTGTTATGTTCCATGCTATGCATTGTTCAGTATCTACTAACCAGAATATCCTCTAAGGCCAATAGATCCAGGGTGTTCAAGCTAGTTTTTGCCCTAAACTCCCCAAGACAGGTCTTGGGCAAGTCACCAGCTCCTATGGAGAGATTAATACTGCCCAATAATTTAGGACTACTATAAGGGCTACTGAAATCATATACAAGTCTCCAAAATGTGTATCAGTAAGCACCCCTTACTGTAAGTTAAAATACCTGATTGAGTTATAAAATAATAGCTTTGTGGAAATTTTTGCTGAGTCAAGGAGGTGTGTATAATGGATATTGTACTAATGCCATCCAGATTCGGTCAAGGCAGTAGAGTCACTGAAGCCGGGTGTTTGTTTGTTTATTTATTTAGACAGTTTATATGCCACCCCCATTGCATAAGCCTCGGGGCGGCTTACAATCATTAAAATCCCATGTATAAATACAATACAAAAAATATTCATAGAATAAATAAAATACATAAAATAGTAGAGACGGCCTGGTTTAAAATCAACAAATAAACCTTAACAATTAAAATAGCATTTAAATAAAAAGGTCTTGGCCTGGCGCCGAAAAACGACGTCGCCAGGCAGACCTCTCTGGAGAGCACATTCCATAGGTTGGATGCCACCGCAGAGAAAGCCCTCCTCCGAGTACTCACCCTCCTAATAACCTTCACGGAGGGTTCCCAGAGAAGGGCCTCTGCCACTGATCTCAAGGGGTGGGAGGGCATATATGGACGCAGGCGCTCCTTCAGGTAACCAGGACCTAAGCCGTTCAGGTCTTTGTAGGTGATAACCAGCACCTTGAATTGGACCTGGACTTCAATGGGGAGCCAGTGGAGCTGACAGAGGACTGGGGTTATATGAGAACAATGCCCAGTCCCCGTCAGCAGCCTGGCAGCTCTATTTTGCACCAACTGAAGTATCCAGACCATCTTCAAGGGGCAGCCCCATGTAAAGCGCATTACAGAAGTCTAATTGGGAAGTGACCAATGCATGTGTCACTGTTGCCAGGCAGTCGTTCTCCAGGTAGGGACGCAGCTGATGGATCAGCCGAAGCTGAAGGAAAGCGCTCCTCGCCACCGCTGTCACTTGAGCTTCTAACGATAGCTTTGGGTCGAGGAGCACTCCCAAGCTGCGGACCCTGTCCTTAAGAGGAAGTGCAACCCCATTCAGGACAAGGTCTAAGTCCCCCATCCCAAAGCCTGATCCACTTACCAACAGGACCTCCGTCTTGTCTGGATTGAGCCTCAGTTTATTGGCCCTCATCCAGCCCATTACCTTGGCCAGGCACCGGTTCAGTACAGCCACTGCCTCACCTGGATTGGTGGAAAACGAGAGGTAGAGCTGGGTATCATCAGCGTACTGATGATTCCGCAGCCCACACCTCCTGATGACCTCTCCCAGCGGTGTCATGTAGATGTTGAATAGCAAGGGGGACAAGATGGACCCCTACAGAACTCCATGGCATAGCTGCCATGGCGCAGAGCCATAGTCCCCCAGCACCACCTTCTGGAGTCAGCCATTGAGATAGGAGCGGAACCACTGCAGAACAGTGCCCCCAACCCTCAATCCCGCTAGCCTATCCAGAAGGATACCATGGTCGATGGTATCGAAAGCCGCTGAGAGGTCCAGGAGAACCAACAGGGACGCACTCCCCGTCTTTCTCCCTGCACAGGTCATTGTACAGGGCAACCAAGGCAGATTCAGTACCGTACCTGGGTCTGAAGCCGGACTGAAATGGGTCCAGATAATCAGTTTCATCCAAGAGTGCTTGGAGTTGTCCTGCCACCACCCGCTCTAACACCTTGCCCAGAAACGGGATGTTGGCCACCGGTCTATAATTGGTGGCCATCTCTGAATCCAGGGAAGCCTTCTTTAGGACAGGCCGGACTACCGCCTCCTTTAAAGGGGCAGGTACCCGGCCGTCCCTCAGAGAGGCGTTGACAACCTCCAGGATCCAGGTCCCTATCCCGTCCTCGGCTGTCTTGAGTAGCCAAGATGGACAAGGGTCCAGTAAGCAGGTGGTGGAACGTACTTGTCCAAGCACCTTGTCCACATCATCAGACCGCAATAACTGAAATTCATCCATCAATTGTGGACCAGACGGCAGCACTGGCTCCTCCCCTGAAGGCTCAGAGTCACTAGTGGAGTCCAGCTCATGACAAATCTGAGCGATTTTCTCCTTAAAATGCTGAACCAGGAATGGCATGGTTGAGGGGTTGTCAACTGAAGCTCCTTTGATACAAGGGCATGTTCTGATAGTGGGTAGTTTGTGTAGCTAGGGAGGTGTTGTTCAACCTCTTCTAGACTGGATGATTCTAACGGAACCCTAATCTATTAGTTTGAGGGTCTATTAATCTATTAAACATTCACTGGAGGTCTAAATGGTTATGTGACATAATCAGCACTTTTGCCAGCTCAAGTTGCAGTGCTTGCTGCAGCCCATCTTGGATAGATTCTGGTTCTCCATGCATACCCTGGTGCCTCAGGATTAGACAAAATATATTGTACTTGGGGGCCAGACTAATTCAATGTGATCATGTGTGCCTTCAAAGTCTGAAACTGCTTAGGAGCCCAGTACCACCAAGTCCCTGCAAGCCTCCTGGAACAGTGTGTTCATCCTCACCAGAGGTTGCCCGAGTCCCCACTCTCTGGCGCTTGGGTGGATGGTGGCTGGGCAAGGAAAGGCTTTTGGGGACAGTAGTATACCATCTGAGAAGTGCCTTCCACAGGGAAGCTTCCCAGGTGCTGATTTTGCATTTGTGGCAACTACCCTTTAGTTTGCCCAAACTTCCCTCTATGTTACTGATGCTAGTTTTAACTGATCAGTTAAATTGGTAGCTTTATTGGTTCTACTAGAATTTATTACTTTATTCCTTGCTGCAGATTGTGGCTTTGAATTTGTATTTCTTTTGAATGGTGTGAGCCCCTGAGGCTTGATTTGTTTCAACTAAAGGGTGATGTATAAGCATTTTGAGTAAAATACGTATTTTTTCTAATCTTCATTATACCTTTTCAGATTTCTCTGGTGAGAATGCCATACGCCTGCAAACTCCTCTTCCAAGAACTGATGTCAATGAGTATTGCACCTCGAATGATGAGTGTCTAGCCTTCAGAAGTTTACCCTTTTCTTAGCCATTACCTGAGTTTTACCTTCAGCTTTTTAGTTGCATGCCTTTCTTTAATGTTTTTAAACCCCCCCCCATATTTGTATTTCATGGCTGAGATTTTCAAACTCTTTAATGTGTGAGCTTCTTGTTTTGTAAATAGGAATAAAGATGTTTCATTCATGTATCACTTGTCAAATACTTTATTGGTATTTCAGCAAAAATTGCACAGGAATGAGTGCCTAGAGAGGCATGATTTGTTTAGGAAAGAACAGCAGTTTTCTAGAAGATTAATATAAATTTGGCATCAATGAGAGAGCTCTACTCCTCCAAAGCAATATTCAATCTTCTCATTTCACAGATCAGCACCTGCACCTGCAAAGTAAATGGTACAATGCCAGAAATTCAAGAGGCTTAGGTCTGTCTTGAAACACAGGTTAGAATTAAACACTAAAAATAGTTCAGTGTACTTCCCTAAAGCCATGCAAAAATGATTAATAAGGAATATCAAGCAGTAACCCCCCCCCCACCTGCCCTCTGGTAATATAAACAGAATATGTAGGCTGCAGGACATTTTGCCTTTACTTGGAGCCCAGGGCAAGCAGTGCTGCACCTCAGGAATGCCCTTACTCATGCATCCTCCTGCCAGCTCCTCCTCTGTGTATGAAACCCTGGGACTTCCTGCAGGATGCCTGCAAACAGAGGCACGTGGGAACTATTCCCCTGCTTGCCTTCTCCTTGAATAAATTGCGAGGGGAAGAAAGGGGCTAGCTGCTTCAGACACGAGAGTGAATCATTCTCATCCTCTTGATGACTCGTGTTAAGATCACCTCTATTGCTATGGCTATATACAAATGTTTGGTTTTTTGTTTAAAACATTTCTATCCCATCCTTCAAAATAAACGTCTCAGGATGGCTTACAAAGCTTAGACTCAACAACAATAATAAAAGTACAATCAGTAATACAATAGATAATAAATTGTAATAATAAATACAATCAGTAATAACAGAAGTACAATCAGAGTTAAAACAATAAGAAAAATGAGTAAATCACATTCATAAAAAAAGAAAGAAAATGCAACTGTTTTAACGTAAGCATCTAAAATCCCTAATTCTTAAAATGATGGTTAAATAAAGGTTTTCACCTGGCGCCAAAAAGAATATAAGTCCAGTGCCAGGGGCAATCCTTTCTGGGGAGCACATTCCACAGTCGGCGCCACCGCAGAGAAGGCCCTCCTCTGGGTAGACATCCTCTTTACCTCCTTCAGGGAGGGTTCCCAGAGCAGGGCTTCCTGCAGATCTTAAGGGGTATGAGGGCATATAAGGAAGGAGACATTCCTTCAGGTATCCTGGTCCCAAGCAGTTTAGGGCTTTATAGATTAATACCAGCACCTTGGGTACAAATTTACATGGCATTCGCAGGCTCCCAGGTTGCAGTCTCATACAAACCCAGGCAGTTGAGGTTATTTGAGGGTGTGACAGCCCTAAAACAAGCCGTGGGTTGTTAGAGGGTTGTCTGAGTTTGCACAACACGACAAGCTAGACATTTGTGAGTACTATGCAGAAATGGCACCTCTGGGTCTAGCTACAACATGAGAGCCCTCATGGGATATTATCTTATGCAAACCAGGTTTTTTGAGTTCTTGCTCACCAATGTTCTGAATTCTTGTTACTGATATACTAATGCTGCTAAGTTAATGGACCCATCTTTTGCATCTAATCATAAGTTTACTTTCCATTTCCTGTGAGTCCTCCTAATACAGAAAAATATTGCTTACTCACCTTTTATTGTAGGTATTTCATGGAAAGAATTAACCACAGTAATTTTTGAAGAGGCTGTGGCTTCTCCTTTAGCATTTGAAGCATGGCACTCATATTCTCCAGCATCATCATTGCTCAAAGGAGATATCTATGAAAATTGAATCATGGCAGCCAGTGTTATTTTTTGAGATACTCAAGTCAATGCCCTTGTGCAACATTTTGCTTGCTCTAAAGTTAACATTTTGAAATAATATAGTTTCAGTGAGTTGAACACATTCCAAAGCTTACACCCTTTTCAGTTCTCCAAGTTCTTGATGTTTGTGGGGAGGAAAACTGAACATGGCTACACCTGCAGCTCTCAAGCTGCTCTACAGCTCCAATCATCTATGAACACTTGCCCTGCTGATGAGGCTGAAGTTCAACATCTGGAAAGCCACAAGTTCCTTGTCTTGTCTTAAAATTTGGGAATCTATCTTGTATTTGCCTCTTTTTCTAGAAAATATACATAGCAAAATGCTGGAGAACATTAATTTAGACGGAAACCATTTATTCTCATTTTTTACAGTATGGCTCCAAAGTCCCCCATGTCAGAACGGCAAGCACTTCCTCTGGAGCACAGGAGCATCATTGATTCCCCACCAGCCACCCACATGCTGCGTGCCATTTTGCACAGTCCCCTGACCTTCACAAAGCTTTAGAAGGAAACTATGGGGCAAAGGAATCAACCCTCGGGGCATCCCTGGAATTTATGGTTCTTTAGAACCAAGCTGTAATGTATAGTTCATAATTCTATCCTCCAGGGTTCTTAACGACTTTGCCGTGTAAAAGCAGAATACGCATATTGTTTAAATCTGCAGTCATCAGTAAAAAATAAAAATGGCACGCACCCAAAATACAGTCTGCCAGAAATTGCAAGAATCTTAAAGATCCCTCCTCAGAAGAGGCTTGAAGAGCTGTTCTGTGTAGAGAGCTCCTCTGGGAACAGCACCACCATGCATAATACCTTGCTGCTTGTGGTGAGCAGAAGGCAAAGGCATCTGAAGGAAGATCTCACCCTACAAAAGCCTAGCATGCACAGGAAGACCAGGTATTCATTTGGAAGAAGGTGCTCCCTAAAAGAGCAAGTTGACCAATGCATTGAAAGGATCATCAGCAGTGGCTAACAGTAGACGCCTCGCAGTAAGCCATTTTCAGGATACATCTTTATATGGTGAAGGATTTATATGGTGTGGGAGAGAGGAAGGCCGAATGTACACGAGCAGTTTATGCATCAAACAAGCCTGGTTGGTCTCTCCATCACTCTCGCACGTATTTATCATTCTTTGACTCTACACATTGCTGTGGGAAGGTATGAGTGGTCCTTTATTTCAAACTTCTTTCTGTATAGCCCCACTCCTCTGCAGTTGCAAGCAGAGCAGCTAACAACAAAATAAGGACATAGCTTCCTAAAATACAGCCATTTTTAATAACAATTAAATACAACATATGATCAGCAGTAGCAAAAAATCACACATTCCTAAACTTCCTCCACTGCAAAAGGGCCACTTCACAAAAGAGAATAATCTCCAACAGGAAGATGACATTGTGACTCCCTCCCTGTTCTTTGTGTGTTTTTGTCCTGCTAGTGGGCTTGCCGGATGCCTGCATGTGGCTGCAACACTTGTATAGAGCCTCTGTATGTACAAATCAATGGCTAGGTTCAAAGACAAGCCATGCTGGGGTTTTTTTTTACCATTGTTGCTATGTTGTGTTTTCTGAACACAGTTGTTTATTTTACCGTGGTGGGTTTGGTCTTTAGAAACCACAGAAAGAAACAATGGTTTGTTCTATATGGGATAACAATTATATGGAAGTATAATTCCCTCCGTCCCACCTATATAGTACCTGCAGTATTGGAGGCAATGTAACTACATAGGCCAGTTGCTGGGGAATGAGTGGAGCTACTGCACCTGTGTTCTACTTTAAGGTTTGCCCTGGGTGGCTGGTATAGATGAAGAGAAAGCTGGACTAGAAGGGCTCTTGGAATGTTCCAACAGGGCTGTTCTTAGAGTCACTGTATTCCTGTGACTCAATGAGCCTGTGAATCTGTTAAATCTTTTTTCTTCCTTAAAAGCATGTTGCCATTCTTCCAAAATTATACAGGGTTACTTCACCTTGTAAAAGAATAGATACTTACCAACACCCATCCAGTCACTTCATGTTTCTCAGGACCACCACGAATCTGGATAGCTAAATTGTCACGATCTCCTGGAAGAAGTTCCATTCTTTGAACACCGAACTGACCCTTTGTTATCTGACATGAGGGAAAAGGATTATGGTTAGAGGAAAGAGTTTATTACCTTGATTTCCCAGACCTTAAAATTGGTGCCTCAATAGCCCACATGTTTAAAATATTTCAGGTTATATAACCATGAGAATTGTATTAGTATTGGCCAGGATCCAAATTACTTTGGAGCTAGTTCTGCTTTTTAAAAAAACAAGTCTAATTCTTGATGCAGAAATGTGCTGGAATAAGAATGGGTATCCCAGGCAGAAGGCAAACAGCAGCAGACACATAAAGGCCCTAAGCCTGGAAGAGGAGGAGGAACCGATCCTGCTCTGCATCCAGTGGCCCATCCTGTTCATCCTCATCTTCACTGAATCATTCCCCGCTCAAACCATAGGCTCAGAACCATGTGTCACCAGGTTGGGGGTAAACACAAGAAATCCAAGAAGGGGGAAAAGTTGAGGCACTGGTCTTCCCCTGGTAAGGCTCGCTCTCCTTCCAGAAGGCCAAAGTTGGCTGGAGAGCAGGGAGAACAGTGCAGCTGCATGACCCACAGGATTAGCCACCCTTTCCCTGGGTGCAGCCAAAGGTTGGGGGGATCAGTTTCTCCTAGCTATCTCCCAGATGCCATCTCACCCTGGATGGGGATGGGGGTACTTGCAGGATTTCAGGCACAACTGGGTTTCATTTATTTGGACAGGTGGGTTCCAGGGATTAAGTATCTGGGCTATGCTCTTGAATTCAGAATTATCTCCAGCAATCATTGGGATGTTTTTCAACAGATGTCCCATGGTTGGGGGACACTGGTGTTAGACCTATTCACCATCAGTGTCAATGCCAAAACATTGCTAGATACTGATATTCACAAGCAGAGGCAACAGACATGAAGTTTGCATCTTGGCCCCAGTGGCTGCTATGGCTTTTCCTCCTTTTCCTTGCTCTCCAAAGTTTTGCACGAGTTGAGGTTGCTGGGGGCACAGGTGGTGCTAATAGCACTGTCCTGGCTATGGAGACTGTGATCTTCAAACTTGAAAAGGTCTGGGTCAGCTGCCTGTGGATACTTCCATTTCAGCTAGGTTTGCTAAGTCCAAGTCTGGTTTGCCATCCAGACTCATAAGAGCTTCAACTGAACATATACAGATTGAACAGCAACAAGTAGGGGCCAGACCCTAACCCTAACCCACAACCTATGACTCTGAAATGCAGCTAAAGCTGAGTCCTGAGACTGAGAGGGTTTCCCCATTCACACTTAAAAAACTTTTAGCTCTGCCTTCTTAACCCACTCCACCCTTCAACGATCGCAAGGACACTTCATGGTGAATCCAACTTTCAATTTCCAGCAGTGACGTTTGGCCACCACTTACAATACAACTCAAAGCTGCTTACATTACCAGTTTCTTACTGAAGCAGCAACTCCCCTCCTGTTACATTTTTGCCCTCCCCGGGATCACAGAAAACAAAATCACCCATGGCCTTGCACAGTGAAATGCTTCCACAGCCTCTAGAAATCAGCTGAGCTCAGAGACATTCCTTAATACTTGCTGCTCTTTGGGACAACAGCCTAATATGGTAAAGTATAACAGAGTTTGTTTTATAAGGACAAGCAGAAATGTAATGCAGTCTTGCAGGAAAAAAGTAACTGAAAAGAAAGAAAAATGCAGCTGGGAAACAAAGAAAAAAATAATTAATTGCTTTTACTCAGAGATGTTAGGCTTACTTTGCAAATGACTATTTTTCAGAGCTTCTCCTAGTAATTTAAGTTATGCTTGCAAAGCTCTGAGGGAGTGTTTAACTTGGCAATGCTCTTAGGTTCCTACCATCCCCTTCACTGTGTTTTGTCATGTTTTGCATTACTGCTCTGGCATGCATCTGCAAATAACTCTTTGCTGTGATTAATTGCTCCAGGGTTTTTGTGAGTTACCTAGTTCCTCCTGTTCTCCTGTGTTCCTCAACATGTAACCCTTAGCTACTTGCCCACTGCTAGTACAAAAGGTGCTGCTGCCAGTCTACCAGGCAGTACTGGGCAACACCCATGGAACCAAATGGGAGCGTGCACAGTAGAACTCAGTAGTGCTTTTGTACTCCCCCGTTTAATTTAATGGGCCTGTGTAGTGTTAGGAAGTAGCTTTCTTTGGAGTGAACATTACTGACTCAGTTTGAAATGTAGACAGATTGTCAGGTAGCCTCATTTCCAGTCTCCGTAAAGGTGGGAGAAAGGCACAGGAATGGGATTGAGGGCCATCACACAAGTTTAGATCAAGTGCTGCACTTTCTGGATGCCAGAAGATATACCCTACATATGATTTCTACAGAGTGCAGTTAGTCCTTGGTGAAAGAAGCTAGATTGTAAGGACAAATAAATTGGATTAAGAGGTTCTTGGGACAGCAGCATAGAAACCTGGATCTTTTAAAAGGGAAAAAGGACCGCTATTACCCAAAATTTTGGAAAGACCTTAAACAAGCTTGGTCTAGCAAGAATGAAAAATAGTTTGGGGATTTTGTAGCACATGGTCTTAAGCAAATCAAGCCAGTGATGGAGGGCCAAATTCTCATGGCAAAATGGACCTTGTACTTTGGAAATACATATAAAGGTAATTCTGAGGAAGGTAGAGCAGGGAGGTGTGAGACAATAAATAGTCTCAGTAGTGTTGTCTCTATGGTGCCATGTAAGTGAGGCAGAAATAAAAGGCCTCAGAGGGAAACCTAGTTTAGGTAAAGCCCCAGGGTGGGATACGCTAGCATATGAAATGTTCTATATGAGTTCAATCTGGTGGGCACTGATCCTGGCAACATTACTCACCATGATTAATTTAATTGGAATATTGCCAGATGGTTGGATGTCTAGCAGTGCAGTCTCAATTTTTAAGAAAGGTGGGACCCTTAAAATGATTGCTCGATGTCCCTACCAAAATACGTGTATGGTATCTTTTAGACAGATTAGAACAATGGGTTGAAGCACAGCAGATCCTATTTCCAGTGGAGGCCGCTTTTCATAAGTGGCTTAGCATGGCTGATCTGTGCTTTATCTTGAATTATCTTATCCAGAAAATATGCAAACAGCCTGCCTAAATATTTATATACAGGTATTTATTTATTTAGCAGACTTATATGCCGCCCCATTCACCTCAGCCTCGGGGTGGCTTACAACATAAATAAATATCACCAATATAATAAAATACAGTTGGAGACATCCTGGCCAGAGTTGTTATAATCAATAAATAAAATCAACAATTAAAATGACATTTAAATAAAAAGGTCTTGGCCTGGCACCGAAAAGCAAATAATGACAGTGCCAGGCGGACCTCTCTGGGGAGTGCATTCCATAGGTTGGATGCCACCGCAGAGAAAGCCCTCCTCCGGGTACTCACCCTCCTAATCTCCTTCACGGAGGGCTCCCGGAGAAGGGCCTCTGCCGCCGATCTCAAGGGGTGGGAGTGCTCAGGTTATGAACATCTGGGTTACCATACTTATGAATGTACAGACTGCCACACATTCTATATGAGTATCTCTAGACAAAAGCCATGAATATCTCTAGGGAACTGTGCAACATAGAGACATGTCATCAGTGTCCACATAGGTCCCTAGAAATAGTCATGGCTATCTCTAGGGAACTACACAATGCGTTTGGTGACATGTCTCTCCATGGCTGTGAAGTTCCTTAGATAGACCGTATTCATGCCTTTTCTCATGCTGAAATAGGGATGGCAAAGTCTGAGGAGCAAGAACTTAAGAGAGAGGTTCATAAAGGTCTACCATGCAGTTACCAAGGCCCTCAGCTGCTGCAAGGTCATTAATGATGAGAAAAGGGAAAAGGCTGTACAAACAACCCTTGAGGCCGACTTCAAGAAAGCAGCTGTAGTGGTAGTCACCCCCCACTCCAACAGTTCTGCTTTATGCGGGTGATGAGGCTCTTGACTCCCTGGCTCAAATGAATATGAGAAAATTGCTTACTAAATCTGGAGCTTATGGTAAGCAGGAAGGTTTCTCTATCAGTTACTATAAGACTAAAGTGGTTGTCTTCAGTAAAAGGCACAAGCAGCAAAAATGGACACTGGATAGGCATACCATAGAAGAGTTTTGCTTATTTAAATATTTACGCTTCCATTTCTCTGAAAATGTTTTATTGCATACTCATCTGGTGGCTATTACATTATCAGCAGTTCATCATTAGCACTTTGGGATGAATCTGCAGGCACAAACACGATGTAATTCAAAATAAGTATTGCGTTTGATCCTGGTAGTAGCACACAGCATGCAAGGAGCACTGCTGCTGAGGGAAACAGATCTTCCTTCCCTAAAAGCATGTATAAAGAACCTATCATGTAATCACAGGAAAAGTTGGTAGCACTCAGCCATGGCACACATTCATTTCCATGGAGACTGTAGAGAGAACATGCTGGTGGTTCAGTTCCAAAATTTGCACCAAAGATCACTCACCTTGTTCCAGGTGAGTATTGGAGTTGGAACTCCAATGACTTCACAACTTAGAAAAATCTGAGCCCCGGTGACATTCCAGATGTCTTTAGGAGGTGTCACGATGGATGGTCCTAGAAGCAAGAACAAATCCTTTCAGATGATTAGGCAGTGTGCATTAATAGGGCAAAATATCAATTTGAAGGTTTAACAATTAACAAACAATATGCCATCAGGTTAAATTTGAGATATAATCAGTACCCTAATAACCCTCAGATGGACACATATCTCCTCTGGTAATGCTGGTCATAACAAGGAATGCTCAATAATAACAAAAGTATTGTTTTGATTGGGCACCTGTTTTTTACCCAAATGGACACCTGTTCCTTTAAGAGGCACTGCAAGATGCCTGTAGCCCTGGGACTAGAGAAGCAGGGGGTGCTCCAACCCCCTCCATTAGCCAAAGGAACAATTGCTATTCTAGCAAGAATAAGCAAAGAAAGATCAGCCTGGCCTGAACAGGATAATGTTGCTCTTATCTTACCACCTTGTTCTGGCCTTGCAAATCTGATCTCTTCCCTCCAGGTCCCTTCCCTTGTGTGCCTTCACATTTTAATTTGGGAGCCGGATAGCTGGCTCCCTTTTATTGATATGAACTGCTTTGGAGGTGAAATTTATCTGAAAAACAGGATAAAAATAAAGCCAATTATGAAATAAATAAGTAGATGGCCACAATGCAGAGTAAGCGGTGAAATGGCCAAGTTTCCTGATGACACCAAATTATTTAGGGTGTTTGTGAGGATTGTGAGGAGCTCCAAAAGGACTTCTCTAAGCTGGGAGAATGGGCATCAAAATAGCAAATGCAGTTCAATATAAACAAGCGTAAAGTAATGTACACTGGGGCAGAAAATCCCAACTTCAAGCACAGGCTGATGGGATCTGAGCTAGCAGTGACAAAGCAAGAAAGGGATCTTGAGGGATTGGTGGAGAACTTGATGAAAATGTCAGCTCATTGCACTGCTGCTGTGAAAAAGGCAAACTTCAAGTTAATCATAATTACAAATGGAATAGAAAACAGACTTGCCAAAAAAATAATCCCCTTATACAAACTTTGGTGTATACAAATCTTTGTGGAATATTGTGTACAATTCTGGTTGACTTACCTGGAAAAGGACATTATTGCGTTTGAAAAAGTACAGAGAAAAGCAATGAAAATGATCAAGGGGCTGGAGCAACTTTGCTGCGAGGAGCAGTTACAACAACTGAGGAAAGGAAGACAAGATAGAGGGGTTTAAAATTATTCCTGGTGTGGGGAAAGTGAGAAGCAGGTATTTTTCTCCCTCTCTCACATACTAGAACCTGAGGTCATCCCATGACAGTGATAGGACAGATAAAAGGAAGTACTTCTTCAGACAAGGTGGAAGAAGAGCTATAGGAAGTGGTGATGGCCACCAATCTGGGCAAATTCATGGAGGAAGAGGCATTTGTCAATGTCTACTATCTGGGCTGGCTCTGTGCCACCCCCATGATCAGAGGTGGCACGCCTGCTTACACCAGCAGCCAAGAAGCTTGGGCAGGCCAAGGTCTTGTACCCATCCTACTTGCAGCATCCCATGGGCACCTGTGTTGCCACCCTGTGTGCAGAGTCCTGGAATGGATGGACCATTGATTTTATTCTTTTTTCTTATGTCCACATGTCAGAATACATTTCTACATTCACATGCAATTGGGCTGAAATAAAAAGACAGTGTGCCCGTTGAAGCTCCATGTTCCCTCTGAGTTTTTGAAGAGCCACGCTCTGTAGTTCAGTTTGATGAGAAGCTGGCACATTTGCTCACTCCATAGTCTTATGCGAGAACATGCCATTCACATATGCCAGTAACACCCATGCTCTAACCTCCCCTTTTCTCATCGTACAGACAGGCCATTATTGTTGGGAACAAGGGGGATGGTGGGCTTGGGCAAGTGTCCCAGGGACACTAGCTGCATCTCCGGTGCTTATTCGGATTCAGAAGGTGAGGGATGCCTCAGTGAGACCAGGCAGCATGGTTTGGCTCAAGGTCCTGGGACGCAACAGGAGGAACAGGTGGTGATTATTTCAAGGACAGGCACTTCGTTGTGCAGAACAGCTGCTGGGAATGGGCTGGGGGTATGGCCTGTGGGAGGAGCCACTGGGGATGAGGCGCTTCCAGACACAGACCAGTCTGCCCCATGGCAAGGTGTCAGCAGAGGAAAGAAGCCCAATTAAAGGAGCAGAGGGTGGAGAGGAGGCATGTCCACCTTCAGAGAGCCCCTCCTGAATGTGTAGGGCACAGATGTGATCTTAAGAAGAGTCTCTGCAGGGAAACACTACATTGAGTTCAACAAGCCTCTCTGTGCATGCTCAGAGACTCATTCTGGGTGAGTTGTAATGGAAGCAATAAAACATATTTTGCAAGGAAAACAGACTGTTGCTGGTGTTTGTTCAAAGGAGGAACCATGGCTCACAACAATCATTCTCTCTCTCTTCTGTTTTATTCTCTGTGCAAGGAACATGCTCTTTCACCTCTTCATGTTATCTTCACAACAGTGGTGTGAGCTGGGCTAGACTGAGGGTCAGTGACGGGCCTCAAGGCATCCAGTGAGCTGCATGGCCAAGCGGGGATTAGAACCCAGCTCTCCTGACTCCCAAGCCAGTACTCTAAGTGACAGAGCATGGTCTGTCCCTACCAGACTCTCCTAATATTCAGACTCTCTGAATATTAACAGAGATTTTTGTTTTTGTAACTGGAAGCTACAAGATGGATTATATAACCTGAACAGTGAAGGCACAGCCTTCCACCAGACTGAACTATATTTAAGGAGTCTTGTTCTCAACAACAAGCAACGCATCCAGAAATATCGTAAACTTGTTTAATTAAGTGTTCTTCCCTGCACAATCAAATTTCAAAAGCTAGAACTGCTGGACCTTCCATGGCATGTTGACTTTGGATCACAGCACGCCCAGTATTGCTCAATCTCCGGTGGCTGATTGTCACTGGTTGGACAGCAGCATCCGTCTGCTTAAAGGCTTTCAGCTGCATATTATGAGCAACAATCACATCACTTTCCAAGTGTGGGAGGGGGAAGGGGGATCAATTGTCTCTAGTCTAAAGTATCAACATCATAGTGCACCAGAGTGGAGAGTAACAGCTGTTTCCTGTTTGTGAGCACTGCTGTGCCATTGATGGAATCTGCAATACGGTCTCCTTTGCACGATTTCCTTTGGTGTAAAGGAAGGGGCTGCCAATGGCATTAGAAACATCAAACGACACAGAAGGTAGCAGACTGTGTGAGAAAGTGTGTGTGTATTGCTATGGGTGTATGTGTGTATAGGTATGGAGACTGAAGTTTCCCACTGATAAATGATTGCTTTTAAGTTCCTTTTCTGGAAAAAGGAAAGCCTTCCCATCCAAAGCTACCATGATATCATTGTAGGATAGCAATGTAAAACCATCACCCTAGGATTTCAGGGCAAAAGTCTTACAGAATCATAGAATAGTAGAGTTGGAAGGGGCCAGAAGGCTGTTGGGTCCAACCCCCTGCTAGTACAGGACACTAAGTTACACCATCCCATTTAGCGTTTGCACAACTTTTTGAATGCTTCTAGTGAGGAAAAGCCCACAACTTCCCCAGGCACTAGGTTCCATTGTCATACTGCTCTGAAACTAAGGAAATTCTTCCAGGTGTCTAATCTAAATATGGTCTCCTGTAACTTAAGTCTGTTATTCCATGTCCTGGACTCTGGAATTGACAAGAAGAGATCTTGTCCTTCCTCTCTGTAACAGGCTTTCAGGGACTTGTAGAGTGCCATCATATCTCCCCTCAGTCTTCTCTTCCTGAGGCTGAAATGCCCAGTTCTCTCCATCTTTCCTCATAGGGCTTTGCCTCCAGTCCCTGAATCAACCTCCGCTGCTCTCCTCTGTACCCTTTCCTGCATCATTTTCAAACTTAGCTGCCAAGAACCGGACACAGTACTCCAGGTGAGTTCTAAATTGGGCTGAGTATAGGGGAACTAGCACTTCACGTGTTTTGGAAGTGTTGTTTCTATTAACACAGCCCAAAATAGAATTTGCCCTTTTTGTGGCTGCAGCACATTGTTGGCTCATATTAAGCTTGGGATGTGCAACAACCCCAAGGTCCTTCACATTTGCAGTAGTGTTGAGCCAAGTGTTCCCCATCTTGTAGCAGTGCATGTGGTTTCTTTTTGCCAAGTGGAGGACTTGGCATTTGTCCCTACTGATTTTCATTCTGTTGCCATCTGCCCAGGGTTCTAACCTATCAAGATCACCCTGTATCTTAACTCTGTCTTCCAGGTATTTGCTATTCCCACCCAGCTTTGTGTCATGTGCAAATTTAATTATCTTTCCCTCTACTTTCTCCTTAGGAGGAAGAATGCCAATTAATGTTAATATGCAGGCCTAAAGTCTTATGTAGCATAAAACACTTTACTGTTCTTTAAGTCTCAGATATTACAAGTTTCTTTCTCTGGCTAGTTGAAGTTAAATTGGGTTGTGACCCTTTGTTCTGTTTTGCTCAGCTCTGCTTCAGTGCTGGAGCGGAAGTGTATCCCTGGGGGTGCGTAATAGCCATGGGAAGAGACAGACCTTCAGACTCAGCTACAGCTCTTTACATGAGGAAGCATTGCCAATCCAAAGTATCCAAAAAGTGTGAGTCAGACAGTCCCAAGCTAAAAGACTGGATGAAAGAGGCTAGATTTTCATACACACAAAACAGGATTTGGGTTTGGGATTTTTGTTTTCTTTGTCCACTTTGTAAGCTCTTAGGGGCAGATGCCCAATAATGACACATGTCACACTTGGGAAAGACACTTCCTTTTTAACCTTCACCTCATACTGCATGCAGTATTGCACGCACATACTGGCTCAAAACATTTTCTGCCACCACTCAAAGCACACATATACACACTAGTTGACACAGGGCACAATCCACCATTGTGCTCTTTGTTTGGAGGATTTCCAAGTCGCTTACCCTTGCAATTCAGAGACATTGACTAACATTTGACATCGTCCTTCAGAGGCAGTTCCCTCACTTTGTCTCACAACAGAGTTGGCTCTGGTTTCTTGGCCAGCTGGAATTTATCCTTGGTGAGTTT